TCACTTTCTTTTAAAATATATGTTAAGGGAGACTCTCCTGAATAATAACTTAATTAACTTTCTTAAATTAAATGTGCCCTACCTACCTTATTTTCTAAGCTTAAACTTCTATAAACACAAACATAACATTTAAATTTAAATAGTAAATTATTTGCATTCATCATGCATGATCCAAACATACTTGAAATTAAAGTTATTTGTAGATATGAAAAGGCAACATTTAGTAATCATAATACTAATCCATTTTAGTTTATCATGAAGCTCTTTAGCTTGTATACACACTGCACATATGCAGAAGTTCAAGTTCATGGAGAATGATGGTTAATTTTGTTCATCTCCACAGTTGTAGAGTACAGCTATGTCCTCATTGTGTGTGTGCTGGGGAGATAATTCAATAATAGTTAATAAGTTCCTGTGGCCTTGAAGAATTTATAATCTAGCAAGACAGGAAGAGAGTCAAACCAAGTGCCATAATTCAATAAGATATAGAAGATATAAGAGATATCACAGTATTGCAGACCACTTTTTCCTTAACTTCTGCAGAAACAGGTAAAGGAGAAATCTGTTCTCCTTGTGGGTATAGATGGTTTGGAAATACTACAAAGAAAATGAGATCTTTGTTCTGAGCTTTAAAAGATGAATGGAAATTTGCTGACCAGATGAAGAGAGAAAGGAATATAAGAAGAAGAGGGACTAGAATTGAAACATAAAGCAAAGCATGAATAAGCAAGTCACATAGAGGAATTGCTGAGTAGCACATGGGTTCCACATCATGATTGGTCATGCATGGCATGATTAGTTATTTAGACATTATCTTAGGATGAATGAGTTATCAAAGGTGCCTAATAAAGTAATTAAATGGGGGAGGCTGTTAGATGTATAGAATTGTATCCCTTGCAAAGATATAAAGTACCTCTAGTATTCAGACTGTGCCTTATGTGGAAACAGTCTTTGTAGATGAGTTAAAATGAGGTCATTATGGGGGCCTCCCTGGTGGCACAGGGGTTAAGCATCAACACTCTGCAGGTACTGCAGCAGGAGTTCGATCCCCAACCAGGGAAGTGACCCACATGGCACGGCAGACCTCTCCTGTCTCTACCGCTGCTCCCCTCAGCAGCGTATTTCAGTGGATCTGCCTGTTCTGTTCCCCACTGTCTCTAGTGAATCCTTTCATGCCTACATCCCAGATCTTGTATATATAAATAAATCTTTTTAAAATGAGGTCATTAGGGTGGGCTCTGATCCAATGTAACTGGTATTCTTACAAAAAGGGGGAATATTTGGACATAGACATAGACATGCACAGAGGAAGACTGTGTGAAGAGACACAGACAGGAAAAGTGGCAAATGAAAGTGGAGGACTAGAGGGAGACATCTTCAGTCCAAGGAATTGCAAAGATTGTCAGCAATCCACCTCAAGCTGGAAAGGAGGCCTGGGACAGATTATCCCTTGTAGCCCTCGGAAGGAACCAACTCTCCCAACACGTTGGTTTTGGACTTCTAGCCTCCAAAACTGTTAAACAGAAAAATTTTATGAAGCCATTCTACTGAAGGAAAGGAAGTAATCCAAAATGAACAAAGCCTTTATTCTAAATCAACAGAAAATAGTGTCCAAACTACTTTAACTTCCTTGTTAGAACTTTCCCCAAGCTAGGAACCTTAAAAAGCCTCACTCCTTTTCTCTGGTTAATGGCATCTAACCAAGCTCTGCCCTTGATCGCTCATTCAAACCTTCCTTTGGACTGGAGTCCCAGTTTCCATTCTGTTGGCTTCTAGTTATATGCTCGTCCTTCTACCCAGCCCTTTAGGAGCTTCAGCTCACCTACCTGTTCTCCTTTCCATTTTAGTTTCTGTCCCAGATGCTGTCTATTAGATTATCCTTAGCTCTACATTCTGCCCCATTTAGGCCAATCCCATCTCTCCTCTATATACAGCACAAACCCCCAGCCTCCAGCTTGAATTCAGCCCCACTTCTCTAGGGAACTATAATTAAGCATGTATGCCATTAACCAACCTGAAAAATATAGGAGAAGAAAACAAGGCAAGGACTTTATAGAGACTATATTTTTTTTTACATAAAGGGAAGCCATTGACCCAATCTTCCTCCTAGACTGCTGGTACTTTGTATGCCTCATCCAAAGCATCCAGCCTATTGCATGTTCTGTCCCACTGGCCATATTTCCTTGATATGAACACCTGTTCCAAATTGGGCCAACTAGATAGGAAATGGAAATCAGTTTTCATATGAATCTAGGTACCTAATATGGAAATTGTAGCCACTCTAGACTTCCACATGGACTGAGCAACAGAAAAAGCTGGTTTGCAGAGAGATAAGAATTAAGCAGATGTTAAAAGGAAGTAGATAGAGAAAGACAGAGGCACAAATTCCCTGGGTTCCTCACACCATTCCCTTTCCTGGTCCTGGTTTCATCTGATACTGCCTGTATTTCTGCCTATGGATTCTGTACAAATATCTTTGTATTCTAATGATAGATACACTCATCATTTCATCTCACCCTAATTGGAGTTTTTTTCAGAGTATCCTAATAATGTGTATTTGTGTTTTTTTTTTTAATTTAAAGAGCAGGTTTATTAGAAAAGGGATAGGATAGTAAAAGACACTTGCATAGACACAAGCGGGAAGGAAGAGCTGCCCCAGAAGGGACAGGTTTGCTGAGAGGCCTGCATGGTTGCAGGCGGGCGGCCTTGAGGAGAGCGGCCTCCACTGAGGGAGGTCAGTGAAGAGAAGCCCCAGCAGGCACAGGTCACGGGCAGGCAGGAGGCTGCTGCCCTGCGGAGGAGAGAGTTGGTGAAAAGAGTCACCTGCATAGTCACAGGTGGGCAGTGGAAGTGCTGCCCGTGTATATGTTGACTCTGAAATATGTATCCCACATCTAAGAGGAGGGGTGGTTGGAAATGTGGACAGAGCAAAGGTTGAGGGGGTCAGCCTTGGGGAGGATATAGAGTCTGAATAAGGGAGTAACTCAAGTGACTGGAGTAGATGAGGTCACAGAAACAACTCAAAGTGAAGGGAAAAAATAGGAAGTGGAGGAGGATAGGTTTCTTAGGAATATCAGTATTTAAGAAATGGATCACAGAAGGAGGAATCAGTGATGAAGGTTAAAAAGAACAGGAAACCAGGAAAGAATTTTTTTGTAGAAGCCAAGAAGTCTTCAGATAAAATCAAACCACTAGTGACTTAAACAGGTATTGATTGTTTTTTGTTTCTTTGGGTTTTTTTTTCCTCTCAAGATGTCTAGAGCTGGTTCAACCAATCAACAAATCTATTGGGGAATCAGGCTTTCCCCCTCTCTCCTAGTGTTATCTTTCTTATCCAGTCTTCATTTTTATAGTCACCAATGATTATTACATTTTCCAGGTAGGATGGAAAAAGAAAGGAGAAAGGGTGAAAGGCAATAAAGTAGTGCCAGCCCCTTATCAGAAAAGCAAAAGCATTACCAGAAGTCCTGCTTATGTCTCAATAGTTAGAGCCTTGCCAATTGGCCTTATCTAACTGAAGGAGGACTAAAAGAGGACTATGGATAGGAGCTGAGTGAGCCAATCTGTTTTTAGCAAGGTAAAGAAAAATGATAATTACAGACACGCTGAGGAATGGGAATGGGGTGGGAAGATTTGATAGAAAGTCCCTGGCAGCTTCATCAAAAACAATTTCAGGGGGTGTATTAGGTGTGGAGAGAGCTGTTGAAGACTAACAAACGGATGGGTGAGAAATGAGGACAGATGGTTCTTTCCTGATGTTTGAAAAGGAGAAAAATAGAAGAAGCAAAAAGCTAAAGGGGCGGCATAATGGAGATGCCTTGCTTCCTTTTTGGAGTGCTGATTCTTGAGCATCCTTCTAACTTGAGGAGTAGACACCTTTGGAGAAGGCGAGATTTAGTATAGAAATGCTATGAAATAAAGATCATCTGTTGGGGGCAAGTCCAAAAACGTTGGGTGACAGAAGGTCAAACACCTTGAAAGTGATCTCTTCCTCCAAAACTAGAAAGGAAGATGAATAAAAATAGTATAAGTTGGATGTTGGCATGAAAACAAAATTGCTGAAAAATCCTATTTTGCAAAGATAGCTTTAGAACTCTTTACGTTGTAAAAGATAAAATTTGAACTCAATATCCAGTTTGAAGAAAGTAGTAATTCACCAGAATTCAGGTGTGTTGTGTTTATTTAGATCGCGGGCAAGACGCCAGCCCGAGGCCACTTGAGGATTTTTCCGACTTACAGAGCCGAGACTGAGAAGAATGGGCGCTTTTATGAGCATCTCAACATTTCACTTTTTGCCCCTCCTATCCTTCCCGGCCTGGAGGACCCCAGAGAGCATGGCGACGTTACTTGGCATGTTTCTCCCTCTTCTGTGGTACTGAAAGCAGCGAAGAAGAGATGAGTCACGGCCAAAGCCCTATGTGAAAGCATCCAGCACTCGCTCGGCGTATGTGTTTGGACCTTGCTCTCAACCCCTCCACCTAAGAACGTCTCGATGGTGGCGCTCAGAAGACTGGGGCGCAAGAAGCCGCCAAGAGGGATCTTCAAGAATCTGGGAGACCAGTGGTCGCAGAGCTGGTCAAATCAGGGGACTCAAAAAGCACCAACCGGGCACCCAGCCCGCAGCCTCCGCGGTTTCAAAACCAGACCCCGACCAGACGCCGGGAAGAAAATGCTTCTCACTTGCCATTGGCTGGCTCTCCCCCGAGTCGAACCCTTGCTTCACTTTCATTGGTTGTCGCTGCTGTCACTTCCTCTCGCCACGCCCACTTTCTTCTGGGCACCCAGTGGGCTTCGGCGGAGAGTGACTCGCGGTGCTCGGGGCGGGAGTTCGCGGCCTATTCCCGGTCCCTGCGCCTCGGCCCGCGGCCGCCCCTAGGTCCGAGGCGCCGCCCCGAGCTCGACCGGGCCCCGCCTCTCCCGCCAGCGAAGGCGGGGACCAGGCGGTGCCGCAGCCGCAGGAATATGCTGGAAGCCGGGCGGCCGTCCGGGAGGTGCTGAAGGGACAGTTCCCGCCGCCGAACTTGCCAGGTGCGGGGAGGGCAGGTGGGGCGGCCCCGGAGCCGGCGGCGCGCGGGAGCCATGGAGACCATCTGGATTTACCAGTTCCGCCTCATCGTGATCGGGGACTCCACCGTGGGCAAGTCGTGCCTCCTGCATCGCTTCACCCAGGGGCGCTTTCCGGGGCTGCGCTCCCCCGCCTGCGACCCCACGGTCGGTGTGGACTTCTTTTCCCGCCTGCTGGAGATCGAGCCGGGCAAGAGGATCAAGCTGCAGCTCTGGGACACGGCGGGACAGGAGCGGTTCAGGTAGGGCCGTGGCGCGGGGATCCCGGGGGCCGGGCGCCCCTTCCCCGGGCGCTGCCGCCCGGCGCCGGTGAGGAGAAGCTCGGGTCCTTAGCTCGCGAAAGTGCAAACACCCCATTTTCGCATCCCCTTTTGCCCCTCCTCTTCCAGGGGCGACTTCCTCCTCCGCAGTATCTCACTTCTTTCTTTGGCGCCCACTTTCTGGCATTCCTTTCCCGCCTGACCTGGGGTCACCCTCACCACATGAGCCTCCCCCGCAACACTCTCCATCCCTACTGGTATTTGACCCCCAACTCTTGGACTCCCCTGTTGCCTTCTGTCTAAACTCAGCGTCCCTTGCTGCACACGCGGAGCCCCAGCCACCCTCCTCCAAGTTCCCCTTTTCTTCCCCGCACCAAGCCGCTTCCTCTTAAGCGGTTGGGCATGACTGCGAGGTAGGATTTCCAGGCGTGATTGATCATTTTTTAGCTTCACAGCAACTGGTACTTACTGCATGAGCTCATCGGGCATGGTTCTGATGGAGATGGATGCGGTGATGGTTTGAACACCTCACAGCAGCAAGCACCCTTTGAGGTCTTCAGAAATACTGGGCCGTGAACCGTGCCCAGGTGTCTTGTAACTGGCACTACTAAGAGGGGTTTTGTTTGTTATGGGTTGAGTTATCTTTAGACGTTTGTCATCATTGTTGCGTTGGTAGGCAAACTATAAATACTAAGATTTGCCAGGAACTTTTACCGTGTTTTGTTAATAAGAGGCACTGAACTTTACAGGGTGGTAAAGGGTTAGAAAATTCATTTCTAAATAGGGAAGAAGCGATCCAAATAACCTGTCTCATTCAAATATTCGTTGAGACCTGAAGCATTTTACAAAGGTGACTCTTGTTGTGTAAATAACTTAATGTCAATTGTATGCACTCTCTGAATAGTTTAGCCTGAACCAGATACAAAGCACACTTGAATTTTTGAGGATTCAAGGCTACTCTTTTTTTGGAAGAAGGTTAGGAATCTGATTTACTGTAGTTTGTGGAGGGGGGAAGGTTTCTAAGGTTGCATTATCAACTGGCACTCATCTAAGCAAGCATTTTGCAGTGTTCAGCAAAAACTTGGCTTCCAAAACCCAGTTTTCCAGAAAGGGGCTTCCCACACATGGCTACCCCACACCCCCAGCCAGCATCCATTCTTCATGAGATCAGCTTACTCCTGTGAGGATGTTCCAAGAATTAAAGTCTTGGCTTCCATTCCCAGCTGTGACACTGATTCATAGAAATAGTAAGTGAACTGCTTGGCTTGCTTGGTTTTCCTGTATATGAAGTGGAAAGACGGTAAGGCCAGTCCTTCTGAGTGGTGTTAGAGGCTACTGAGTTGAATTGTACAATATCTAGAACACCTTGAATAAATTTTTTTCCAGAAGTCTTCAATGGAAAGAATTTTTCAAGCTTCTGGTTCCTCATCTATAAAATGAAGGAGCCATTAGGATCTCTAAGATTCCTTACATATTTGCTATTCTAAAGTTGATTGCAAATTCCTTCCCTTCTGATCTTACTCAGAGATGAACTTTAAGATATTTCATGGTCAGAAAAAAAAGCATTTACAGGTAGTGCTTGCTCTACCCTCCAAAGTGAATATAATAAAAACATTTTCTTTATGCATTAAATTTCTCACAACTCCTTGCATTGCAACTGCAAGAAACATAAAATCGCATTGTTTCTAATTCTCTCCTTAAAGGTAACCCCTCATTATTGACAAAAAAAAAATGAAGGATAATTAATTTGTTAGATTTTAAAGACCTTTCTGCTAAGTAGATCATTGTTTCTTAATGCCTTTAAGAAGATGGTAAATAGTAATTAATTTTATTTACATTATTAAAACCAGGCAGTAACAAGAACGTTTAGGGAATGTTTACTGACAACCAGTGGTACTTTATTTTGTTTGGCTCTTTACCAAAGGTATATTCATAAATACATACATATTTCAGTAGCTACCGCCAAATGCTATTCTCATTTAGCTGGATGTTTCACCATAAAATTGCATTTAAAACAATTACCGTTAAAACATTCTGTATCTTTCTCCAAGATAATCCAAATGTTTATTCTGAGTAATAAAAATCCTTGCATATATTATTTCACAGAAAGGTACTATAGTTCATGAAGATATATCCCTGCCATTAGTTATTATCATACGACTAGGAATTTGTGAGAGGCACTGTAGGTTTATTGGAAATTAGATCTAAATTAACAAAAAGAAGCCTACTCTAGGCACTAGCTTGAGACCATAAACATGGTTCCGGGCCTTGCTGGAAAGCATAAATAAATATGTTATAAGACAACAAAATAGTGAGCTGATACCTCTGACCATAATTAGATTTCATTTCCTCCCCCTTTCCAGTTTTATTGAGGTATAAATAAAGCCTTAGTTTTCCAATGTCCAGGTTAACATAGTCTCATAGACTAATATGAGACTAATATTGCAAAATATAAAAGAAACAAAGTCAAAGTGAAAAAGGCATAGAAAAATAATGTCTATGTATACATAATATTCATTGGAATATACCCAACAGTTGTTTTACCAACGCTATGTTATAGTGAGAATAAATGTAAATTGCTGATGTTAAAGAGACGCAGCAGAATTACAGTGCCTTCATAGAGACCGCAGTTTACTTCTCTAGTGTAACAGTCTCCAGGTGAGTGCTCCACCCTGGTGGGCTGGCTCAGCCTTAGATGTCTTCCCTTCTTCTTTTCTGCCATCCCCAGAACATGGGCCACATCTATGTGGACAAAACTGAGTTTGGGCCAGTATGTTATCTTTGTATATTCCACCCACATGGCTTTGTAATAGAAGGAAGTTTTTTTGTTTGTTTTTATTTCAAATTGAACAATAAACAAGTATTTATTGGCTAAAAAACTGGGTTGCAGGCACGGAGTGTATCAGCAGAAGGGAACAGGTAAGAAAAGCCCTAAATCAATGTTCCTTTGAAGCCAGCAAAGCCAATATGGTACAGATCACTCAAGCCCTTAGTTCACTGGGGAGAATTCGATATAAGACCACACTTAGACCAGGCCACCACGTGCCCAGGAAGAGGGAAGATGGATTAGACATTGGGGGGACTAGCAATTACCACTTTTAATTTTTTATCATCATAGTAGAAACTTAGCCGGCAAGGAATCCAGAATATTGTAGAGCACAGTGTTGATAACTATTGGAAGGGATAGAGAGATGAAGAGCATCAAATATAAAAGTAGAAATTTTGAACTGTTCCCCAAAGAAACATTTAAAGCAACATGTATGTAAAATGAGATAAAGATTAGCCAACTTGACAGTAGGGATGGGGAATGCCAAGCCTCAAGGCTAATTTGGCCTTAGATTTGTGTTTTATGGCCTTTGGTGTATAATCATTCCACCTGCTAGTTGGAAAACCAGAGGTTTGTCCTCTTAGTGCTTCCACAGAACACCTGTGATGCCTTCTAGAAGATGGGTTCAGTGACCGAGTAATTTGGGAAACCCCAGCATTCTATACAGCACTGACTTAGAAATCCCCATCAAAGGAATTTTGATAGGAATAAGAAATATTGCAACAAAGAAACAGGCTAATATTGATTAAACTAGCATTTTCCAAATTCATTTGAGGGGTCATTTTTAAAATGTGAAAATCTATGCTAATTACTGCTCTTTTAGGAGTGTAATTTGGGAAATGCTCCCTTGATGAGTTGCTTAGTCACATTCTTTGAGCGGAAACACTAAACATTTCCGGTTAGGAGCTAGGAAAGACCCGTGGTGATTAGCAATTAACCAGCAATTAACTTAGCAAAGAGCTCCCGCTGGCAGTGATCTATCTAAGGGACAGCCCTCTCACCCCCAGGCTCCATCCTCAGTTCCCAAGCCTGATTTGTATCCGGCCACTGCCAACACTTCCCCCCAAGTCTTCAGGTCTTTTCCCTCTAGGTCCTTTTCTGCTCTGCACCTTGTTCTTCCCATATGCTTTATGCCTCCTTCAGTGTCTTCTTTTTATTTTTCCTTTACCTTGTTCATCTGTTCTGTCCTTACTCAGAGTTTCTGCCATCTCTGTCTTTTTCTTTCCTTCCTTTTTTTTTCAGATGTCTCTAGCTCTCTAATTTCTTTTTCGCTCCTCTCTCCTTATTTAGTTCCCTGATTCCCTTGAGTCTGTTTTCTCCACTGCCCTTTGGAAGTATTCATATGAAGTTAATGGTTAAAAGGGGCTTAATTTATGTCCTCCATTCTTCATGTAAAAAACAAGTGACAAGAACATTTTATATTTCTCCTTAAGAGATCTTTTTAAATGCATAAGGTAAATGGTTTTGCTTTTAAGGACCCTCATTGGAGCGCCACTCCCACCCCCATTACTGTGGTTCATTGTCTTAGTAGAAAAAAAAGATTTTCTAAGCCTGGGCGGGCAACTTCATAATTGCATAGGTAATAACAGAGGAGACTGTCCACAATTAGGATATACTCAGAAAGAATTCCATGTCCAACCAACCTCTCATTCCACTGTGAAAGCCAGATAAGTCAAACATGCACGATTTCAAAATGTCGCTTAGTGCAACTTTTGGAGGAAGCTACCTGAGGATGTATACACGCGTATATACAAGGAATTGGAAGACAGGGCATATAGGGAACAGGAGCTCTGGCTCTGTAGCAAGGCAAAGGAAATGCCCAGGAAGATGGGGAAGTGAGCCCCTAGGATTATATCTCTGCAGCAGGCATTAAGGACAACTGGCCGGATTGGAGCAAGACAGAATATTGTAGGTCAGGTATTGAAAAAGATGTAGAGACTTTTAATCCTCAGACATAACTGGTGCTTCTACTGGAAATGGGAGGAATACATCACCTTTTCCTCTTATACTTCAAATCACGTGACAGTTACATGACCGAGTCACAAGCCAGTGAATTTGAGCAGAAGTCACAGGTGATTTTAAATACAGCACCAATTCTTTTACTTTCCTCCATCAAGAGGTGAGTCCTTTGTTACTGCAGCATAACTTGGCCTAT